TCACTTAAAAGCAGCCTCTATCTCCAAGTACAAAATTCCCCTCCCGCGTCTTAAAGCAATCGGTTTATTTTTAATTTAGTAATTTATTGTTGGTTTTAGAAAGTCATTTTGGTATTTCTTTAATTTTTGTCAGAATGTATGTACCAACGGACAAGGTTGAGATTTACAAATCAAATTCTGGGGTCTGTAGGGAGGAATGTTCGTTAGATTACCGTTCTTATTTTCGACATAATAACCTTATTATATCCCGCATTTTGTTCTGTCCTCTCATTTTCTTCTTTAAATTTATTATTTTGTGAAGAAAGAACATCGGCCTTCGGATTTGTTCCGCTCGAGACACTTGCAGCCAATTCTGGAAAATTCGTTGTGCACACCTGCGCCGTGTGTTCCAGTGGCCTTGTAGTGTTCCGGAGATGACTAAGAGAAAATTTATTGGCCGCGTGGATGAAAATAGTTCAAAAACAGTGTTTCACAAGTTATTTTTCCCTGTTCAAAGTGTTTATTTATGTTTTATTTAATTTACCACGGTTGGAAACATACCATTTTACAAGCAGCGACTTATTACGTAAATATTTCTCTAATGGACTTCTTATTTAGAACGGCCTGTAGCGAGCAGAAGCTGCAGGATCATTACTCCGTCCAGAAGCACAAAAGAGAGAAAACAAATAAGGATTGTAATTGAACGGGACACAGCTTTCCGTCTGTTCTGATGACGTTAATTTATTCCGTTATAATATAAATATCATAAAGAAAAACACAGAAGCTCTGTTAGATGATACTAAGGAAGTTGATCTAGAATTATACGCAGAGGAAACTAAGTAAGCCTGTATGTTCATGTCTCGTCACCAGAAAATAGGACAAAATATTATAATATACAGGAACCGGGGAATTACGGTAACAAATCAAAATTGGAATCTTAAAGCAATGAAGAAGAGTTAAATCCGAGGAATGCTTGCTACCATCCACTTCATGGTCTTTCATTTCTTCTTGTAAGATACGCTTTTGATCTTTTTACTGAGACACTGAAAAGTGAGATTAATCAGGTAAAGAGCAATTCAAACAACCTCAACGTACTGACATTGTTTTATTTTCGATACCAATTATTTTCATCCGAGAGGGAAATAAAATCAGATTAAAGGCGTCTCACAAACAAAATTACTGTCAATTTGTGTCTTCTGGGTTGTTGCGCTGTGTAGTCTGGTCGATGTTTACCAACGTTTCAGAGGTCATGCTGCCTCCGTCATCAGGGCGATGAAGACAGAAATCTTCATACTCACTGCTGTGAAAACCTCAAATCTTACAAAATTACTGTCATTTGTGCTGATCTCAGATCATAAGACAAGAATGGAACAATGTGCAGTTTCTCACTGAATCCGCCAGGGGTGCTGGGGCCACGAAGGTGGATGAAACTACTTCTGAATTGACTAAATGTACTTTTATATAAATTTAGTTGCCAGGAATCGAAAGGATTCGTCGTTCGTGGGTCATATATTGCTTACAGAACCCTGTTCCATGTTGCGTTACTGCATTTGAATGACTCAGACATGATTGCTTACTCGCACGAGCTTTCAATAGCTAATGGCCACGATCATCAATGACACGGAACGATGTACTCTGTTGCGTTCTAGGGGGCTCTCTGGTACCGCATTCCAAGTAACGGCGAATGGTTGGTTATTGGGTCGACGTCTCATCACTCATGCGCACTTCATAGAGAGTTCAGTCTCCTACACCCTCACCGAATATGCACCTACGCTAGTAATATCGTAGTGTAAAATGACTAATGCCGTTTTAATCTGCTTTCATTGTTTTATAACGAGCGATAGCTTTATGGAAACATGTTACAATAAATATTATACCAATTGGAACCTCACGACATTTGCGCTATTCTCAATATCCTGACAGAGAACTTTATGTGAACGTGTGAAAGTCTATGCAAGCGATCACCACGCCGTGAAAGCGTATAGCGGAATGGAGGTTAAATTAAATTAAATTAAATCCGTGGCGTAACAGTTCCAGAGAGCCAAAGCCGACCAGCTTGACTGCTGGCCTCACGTTCACATGCCTAAGCAGAGGTGAACGATCATCCAACCAGATATAGGGTGACGTGTGGTCAGCACGACGAACCCCCAGCCATTGCTAGTTTTCCTGACCGGATTACGCTACTCATTGTAGCTCCCCAATTTCCTCACGATGCTGGGTTGGCACCGGTCCCATATACTGGTCGAAAGCTCATGAGAAAATTTCTTCTCCCCCGAGACTCGAACCAGCGCGCATTCCGTATCGCCGTTCCGAAGCATGATTCCTCAGACAGCGCGGCTACGGCGCGGGACATGGAGGTTAAACTACATGTTTGTAAAAGTAAAACTAATGGAGATGGCCGGTCGTTTTTACGTTCCAGCCTTTCCAAAAAAATCCTCCGTTTAAACTTTTGTTTGGAGACTGAGTCCTTTTAGAAGACACCAACGTTCAATTTTGCCAAGTCATGGATAACATTGAAGTTGAACTGTTTGAGTGTGAGGATGGAACATTAAAGTCTTTAAGTTAGCACTAAGATATAAATAGACAACTCTCTAAACACCCAACAACTAATTCCTTTCGTATTAATTCCCATCCTTCATTATCTAATAATCCTTTCGACGCTGTATAATTTAAAATGATGAAACCGTCGTTATTCATCTTTGTATCATTTCGGTCTTCTGGGTTCTGACACCGCGCGGTATTGTATGTAGTTACCGACATTTCGGAAGAACGCCTTATCTAAACTTTCTACGAGCTGTGCGCGTGGTTTTAAAATCTACACTCTGTGGAATCTTTCGGACCCCAAATTGCTCTCAGCCTATGGCGAGTGCTTTAATGCTTTTTTTTTTTCTTGTTGTGCTTGGCACGTGTCTCAGTTCCGGAAACAACGTTTTGCTTTCAGCAGCTGTGGGTGTATTCGCAGCTCAGGCACAGCGCACGTTTTGGTTGCCGGTGCCAAATTTACATTAAAGTTACTTATCAGTAAGAAATAGTGCCAGCCGTTTTCATTGCTCTAGTAGCGCCAGCTGGACTTTATAGCTCTTCAGAACGATTCAGACGTCGGTCATTTCGTCAGTGAAATAACTTCTGAAATCTTGTGTATTTTTCGGACAAATGTTAGAGAAACAGAAAATAAACCACAGACTTCATATTTTTGTATATGGTCTACTATAGTTCAGTCAGTATAATGACTGGCCTGCGGGCTGGCCGACTAAGGTTCGATTCTCAGCACGGCAAGACTTATCGAGACCGGCTCGGATGTCCACCCGGTCTCCTATCTAACGGGTGCCAGGATCCTTTCTTCGCAGATAAAGCTGCCCAGCCACGCACCTCTCTGTGTTACTGATTTTTTAAGGATGTATGAAGCTATACCTCCACTTCCCAATACGTTTACATGGCGTAGTGCTTAGGTAAGCATCCGGGCCGGCTTACTTATAGTTTTGTAGCTGTTACAATCTGGGAATCGGCGACCATGTTTTTGGTTTGGGACGAAAGCATTAAATAACAGAAAAAGTGTGCCTTTACAATGTTTGTGTGTGTTGCTTGGGAACTGTTAAAACATTACAGGACTCTAAATATTGATACCGCCACGGTGGTCTAGCGGTTAGAACGCTGGGCTTGTAATACTGGGGTCCTGGGTTCGATTCGGTGCTCAGATTAACAACTTGTGTTGGTCAAGGCCGTGGTTCAGGCATCACAGAGTTTTCCTCCGGGGTTTCCCCGGTTCCATCATGCCATGCTGAATGGTGTGTACTGGATACGAGAAAAAAAATATTGATACAGACAAATCGTGTAATGAGAAATCTTATTCGGGGCGAGTGGGTCGTCCCATCTCTGTTTATCCTTTCAAATTAGTTTTCCGAGGACGAGTCGTGATGCTCGTGATTTGTATGAACGCTTTCTGGGAATAATGGCTGACTACACCACTGTGACGTCATTACATCTTCTAGACCTAACAGGCACGTCATCCTATCGCGACCTGGATAACGTAACTTCATTTACAGAAAGGAAAGAGCTTTTCTTAGATTTGACATTATAATTGACGTGAGCGCATGCTCTCAGTACAGAATTTCTTGAATCATTCTTCGTCATCAACAAGCTAGGACTGACCAACCACATCAGCTTTCCATCCATGCAGGAGAAACCAGTTTCAAATCAACCTCTGAAATAGTTTTCTGCTCCTTTTAATCCATAATTTATATCACACTGACTAACGCCATGGGGGCAGAGTACTCTTCTTCAGAAGCTGATAGTCGCTTGGCTAGTCGAGCATTTCCCCACATTTTACAAATGCCGAAAGTTCATTGCCATGGATTCTCTGTCATCAGCCAGATCAATCCAGGACACGCCCTCACATCCTGTTTTTAAAAGATCGATTTTAATATTCTCCCAACCACGCCTTGGTGCCATACTACACAAAAATATATTTTGA